GAGAGGGAAAAGGAGAAAAAATTTGGAGATAGTATTATTTAATCACAAGCATGATATTTTATAAAACGATTTAAATATCAATTAATTTTGAAGATAGCAAGTTAGTGGGAAACATTGTATTTAAGTAAATATCTGTTTAATACTCCACAAACAGTTAACCTAATATAATAAGTATTATATTATATTTATAGACTTAATGTCTACATTTATTTTACATGTCTAGCAATATATGCATGTGTATTGCATTTTTATATGTTTATTTTGTTTTGATATTGAACCATATTAAGCATGTTATTCTGTTACTGTTTAAATACTCAATACCCAGTTATACACTTAATATTAATAAATTATTATATTATATATAAACTAATGTCTACATTTATGTTTACATGTCTTACAAATAATATGCATGTATGCATTTTTTTATGTTTATTTTTGTGATATGAACATATTTAAAGCATGTGTGAATGTTGTTAATTTGCAATTACAAATTCCATATTTTTTCTTAACAACAACTGTATGTTTTCTTTACATCAATTGATTCCTCTCATTATTTTGTACATATTAAGTATTAAGGTAACATAATCAAAAAATAAATATTTTACAAGATATTTTATGGTTTATGTAAAATTAAGAAATTATTCAAGCCTCATAACTCGAAAAGAATTGATGAAAATGTTCATCTTTATGTCCCTCTAAACTATACAATTTTGTCTGAAACATTTTTTTCGATTTTTCATTATTTTTCCGAAATATTTTCCTGGGGAAATTAAAATAAGACATATATATATATATATATATATATATATTATATATATATGTATATATTTGTTTATATATTTAGGAGAAATACTGTACTTACTAAACAATTTACTTAATAAACTTAAATACAATGAAGTTTCTAATGAATACGATCTTACAAAGAGTTTAAGAATGGAGGCTGCGAAATGGGCATTGTAATCTTGATGGTGAAAATTGATAAAAAATGCCCGACTTAATTTAATCGATATCTCGAAGATCCCGAAATAACACGTAATTTTTTATTATATTCTCGGTTATTTTAATTTGATTGATTTTGTAAATACATGTGCAATGTTTATTACATTATTTGATCAAATTTAAATTTATTATGTTATGGTATAAAATCATAATTTAACAACACGATACACTATGCATATATTTTACTTGGTGCATTTACCAAGATATAGATTCTCATTTTCGCGTTTTAAATTTTCGTGCATTTACAAATAGATTCTCATTGTCGCATTTTATTTTTCGCGAATAATTATAAAGAAAAAAAAAAAATATAATTCTACAACCGCGGTGACTCTTAATCGTTCTTTTCTAGTGTATATGTTGTTAAATACATAAAGAGCCTAATTCTTTAATCAAATTTATTAATTATTTAAATATAATTTGTTAAATTATTTAATCAAAATTAAGATTAATTATGTTGCAAAACATTTATATGAGAATTTGTCTTTTGTTAAATAGGCTTTTGCCATGGTGGAAAGAATGGACATATTGTCAAGGTTTAAAAATATTTGTACTATTCTCTTAGCAATGAAGATTCTCTTGGTGGGGAGTATATCGTCTGGAAAAAGAAAATTTAAAACTAAATTTTTAAAAATATCTGTCTTGCCCTCAGTATTCACACTTTATCAAACCCTATTTAAAACTAATAAAAAATGATAGTAAAACATGATTATGTTTTTCAAAGATTTTTCCGATAAAGATTATATTAATTATTTTCTTTTTACTATCGCGAAGCATGCCAAGAATCCTGTAGTATCGACTTCATATTAGAAAAACTTGAGAACATAAGACCCAGGTAATACAGCTTCCTTTGTTAATATATATCTATCATTCAACAATTTATGACGTATCAATAAATTATTATTTTTACTATTATAACAAATCAGCGAGTATGCAACATTTACTGTAATTATTAATCATGTGGTATTCCACAGATCAACTACAAAAGGTAAAAATTGCATGTGCTTATGTATACACACACGCGCGGCAGCGCGCGTGTGTGGGTGTAAAATAAATATCATGATGCGACATCAAATATTGCTGTTTAACATCATCAAAATAATCTGTTTTAGATAAACAACTTCCTAAAAATAAATTATAATAGTAACGCAAGTTAAATTAAATGAATGTAAAAAGTTATGGTTTTTTTGTGAAGAGAAAGAATACTACAAGTAAAGGTAAATTTTATAAATATCATTACTAATTTTCATTTATTAATTATTGATTTTTTTTGTTTTCATACAGAATGTATTAATGTTACAGTATCCTAAAGTAAAGCAAAAATTTAATGTCGATTTTAATTTTTTATAAATAAGCTAGTTTTATTTCTAATTTTCGAAAATACTATTATTCTTGGAAATATGTAATTTTAATGAATGAGAAAGTGGAGAAGAGTGTGCGAGCAAGCAAAAGCAAAAGAGAAAGAGAATTTCTTTACTTGAGAATTTTAGTGAAAATAGATTTATATATAAATTATATTAAATTTTAAAAGAAAAAATTTACAAGCTTCAGCCTTATTTGTATTTAAATCTTAGTTAATCTAGATGTTTAGCTCTTAGTTAAATAATATACAATGTTTTTCAATATGATTGTGAAGTATTACGTAATGTGATTCGCATCTTTAAATATCACACGAGCCATTTGTTTACGAAAATAAAATTTAATAAAGATGAATAAGATTAAGAAGAATTAATGCACTTGCCAGATATAACAGTTTTAATATTATTAACATTTTAATATTATAATAATTATAATGATATTTTGATTTCTGTGACAGCTCATATAAATTTCTAATTTTATTTTTCAAATCTCTAATTCTAAATTTTGATTTTTATTTGTTGAAAGTTTTGCAAAGTATTATTTATTAAGCATTCCTTGCAAACAAAAGAATTGTTAAGTAAAATATTAGTGCATACAATGCACATAATATAAGAGAACACAGTACAATAGAAAAATGATTTATTCTTATTTCAGCAAATTTTGTAATTTTCTTAATCCATAAAATTATTATTTATTCTATTATATTTAAGATTATTATTATTATTATATGTTTTATATATGTATTAAATGTATTAATATTATATATATATATATATATATATATATATATATAATATACACAAGATAATATATTTATTAATAATTATTGGCTATTTACACTAATACTTAATACCGATATAATCTGTTTTAGACAAGCAACTTAACACAATCAGCAGAACATTTCACATGTATGCAGCAATATATTTCAAATATTGAAAGCAAGATACAAATACGCTTTTTCGAAATCCAAAGTCAACAGAATTACTTTCAAAATTTTGTCAAATATCCAGAGTGGAAACGTTTTTAAAAAAAAGTAATAAGTTACCGTTACCTGAAGTTACCAGCGATAGGGATTTACCGTTCCCGTTAGGGGAAGGTGTCACCGCTAGAAAGTTACCGCCACCGTCACCTCCTCCTACCGACCCAATGTGTCCGTTTTGTTATGGGAGGAGAGCCTAAAATTTCTGGAACCTAACCTAATTCGTTACTGTTATCGTTACTAAGAAAGTAACGATTCGTTACTTTTTCGTTACTTTTTATAATATAAAAATTAAATTAATTTATTTTAAATATAATTATTACTTTATATATTTAACAATTATAAATTATTTATATATTTAACAATTATAAATTATTCCATCATTGATGTTCTTCATATTCAATTTTTCATTTATTGTTATTTAGAAATTTTAGATTTATGAATACAGAGAAATACATTATGCATGTATATGTATATAGGTTTCTAAAATATTTGTAAACTGTTTTGTAATGAGAATAGATTTTTCTATTTTTCTATTTTTCTATTTTTCTAATTACTAAGAGAATACTATCCAGGGTTACAGAATTAAAGTAATGATAAAAGTAATGGTTAAATTCGGTACCGTTACTGTAAAAATGTAACGACGTTACCGTTATCGTTATAGACAGAAAAAAGTAACGATTGTTACCGAAAAAAAGTAACAGTAACGACATTATAAGTAACGCGTTATAAATAACTATTTATGATATATATATATATATATATATATATATATATATATAATAAATTGTTGTTATAAATTTAATATGTATTATTCATATTTTAAATATATGTTATTAATTGTTTGAAATTCATAATGTTTTGTAAATTTCATATAATTTTTTATTTTTACAATAAACCACATGGCACAATTTTTTCATACATCTACATGTTTATTTTTCTATACTTCTTGCATATTTAAAGAAATATAATGTACACTCGCGCGCATTCGTGTAAATATTTACACAAGCACGCACTAATGCACAAAAATTAATTTGCACCTACTATATAAGCAAATAGTGATATTTTTAAATAAAAAATAAATCAATCAATAAAGAGACATGGTATTTAAGCTTATTGTGTACGCATTATATATATATAGATGTATGTATGTGTATATATATATATATATGTATATATATATATATATATGTATACATATTAATATAATTATATTATTTAATCAGATAAATGAAAAAATATCTAATATTTTAGTATATATATATACATATATATATATATATATATATATATATATACTAAAAATGTATTATTGTATAATATGTACCTTATTTGTATCTTTACTTTTATCAAAATTATTATCCTATGTATTCCTGTAAAGATACTAGCCAGCACTTATTGTTTATTAAAGTGTTATTAGCAAAGAAAGTATGTGAAGAAAGTTATTTGCAAAGAAATTAAATAGTATATTAATGTAATGAATCTCTCTCAGAAAATGATACATAAATATTTAGAAATATTAAAACAATAATCTTCTAAGTTAATTATTTTTCAAAATTATTTAAAGTGTACATAATATACATACAGCTTAATATTTTTATATTTTTTTGTTTATTAATCTAAATTATTACTTTGTAAGCATAAAATCGTAGTTCTGTCATTAAAAGAATTAAAAGATTTTATTTTTTGACATCGTTTTACGACCTGATAGACAATGACATATTCATGAATGAGCAATGCCGTTCATGAATATGTTATTGTCTATCAGATCGTAAACGTATGGTATCACGAGATATTAGAAGTCACTCACTGACCACGAGGCCAAGCAAAGAAAAATTTAATTTGGTGCATTTGAGGTAAGTGAACCTTGACAGACGATTCTTAAAACGATTTACTTCATTTGTTTCCAAATGTGTGTATGGTTGTTCCATTCAAATATACGAGATCTCTTCTTGCACGTATATAATCGCACCGTTTGTAACATTAAACAAATCGAATATGCGAACTTATTTATTTAATTTTTTCGCAAATTTAATATTATTTGATATACACTTTAATATTATTTTTACATTGAAACTACATTGCATATTAAACAAATTTAAACCATTAATGTTTTCTGTGCTTTATTGAAACTTCTAAGTGAAAAACTATATGATAATATGCACTTCATTAAATTTTATTGTAATCATACATAATATATTCTTAGGAAAAATATTTAAATTCTCTCTCTCTCTCTCTCTCTCTCTTTCACACACGTTGTTGGACTTATATATTTTATTTATTCTTTTTTTTCTTTTTCGACAACTTTTATTTTCAATTATTTCTTTCTTCATTAACTTCTTCTCAATCTCAAAACAATACAGGTCATTGCTTCTTAATTTGAGCCAATTTACTTCCTTATTTCGTTAAGGTCGAAAATTGACGGACACTCTGTATAGTTAAGTGGGAAATTATACACTGTAAAAAAGTATGTAAAATTACACATATAATGAGTGTAACAATTACGCTATTTATAACGGAAATATATAAATTTATGTACTTTTACAAAAATTAGTTTTTTTACTATTTATTGTGTAAAAATTCGTTTATATTTGATGAGAAATTACAAGGTTAAAAGTGTAATTTTTGGATTTTATGTAAATGTACAATTTTTTGTAACATTTATATAAAATTTAAAAAATACACTTAATAAACGAATATTTACACAATAAAGAGTAGAATAACTAATTTTTGTAAAAGTACATGAATTTATATATTTTTGTTATAAATAGTGTAATTGTTACTCTAATTATGTATGTGCTTTAAATTAAATTTAATATGTGAAATTGTATAAATACATATACAAAATGTATTATTACATAAACATTTCTACTTCTAACATGTAAATTTATTAGTACAAGATGCTTATTTATCATTTAAGATAATAATTTTATCTATGAAATGTAAATTTACTAATGTATGTAAATATACACCTTTAATAGTTGGTCTCAATATTATTCACTATAATAGTTGTAAATTTACACAAAAATTTTTTACAGTGTAACTAACTGTGTATAAAAATTATCAAGATTTTGGTAAAGGAATATACTATTTTTAAATAGTATAAAAGAATTCAAGTATATATTATATATTTAGAGATATTTTTGCATTCTACATAACAGTCTCTTTTGCTTTCGACCAACGCGAAATAAACAGTTTTGCCATCTTACGGCGTTCGATCGCTAGCACGAATTTGGAGTGAAGAACGGTACCGTGTTTTGCTATTACATACCGTTTCTCGATCTGTTAACGATCTCAGAAGTTGTGTGTTTACATATGACATACACATTTATTGTAATATCGCCAAGTGTTATTAGTCTTCGGAAGTTTCTCGAAATAATAAGAAATTATAAGTGGGCATATATATTTTCCATGTTACAATGATAGTGAATAAAACATTAATTTTTTGCAGCTAATTATTGTAACGAAACATAATACACTTGCATACAATTTGTAGTATATCTCATTATACAGAGTAAGTAATTCAAAATTAAGTTTATTTTTATATATTTATCTTAATTCCTTCTTTTTTCCATTAAATCATGGTAGAGACAGTGCTGTGTTTAGTTTGTCAGTTTGTACTTTCTAACAAAAATATATTTTTACAGATATCTAAGATAAAAGTAATATCATGTTTCTTAAACTATTGTTAAGTAGCAGTTTAACAATCATCGTCGCGGCGACTTTTTTAACCGACGATGAGATAATAAAAATATCTCAAGAAGAATTAAACAGAATCTCGATTTATATATTACCGCAACATTATGATATCATCGTTACATATATCGAAAAAAATATTCTTGTCAGCAACTGCAGTATACATACACAGATTAAATATTCAACATCAAGCATTATATTGTATTTACACGTAAAAAATATTAATCTAATTGTGGTTTATTATCCAAATTATTATTCTATGAATGATACTAAAACTACGAACATTTATACATCGGTAAGATCTATGTATGATGTTGAGAAAAACATTGTCGAATATACATTCGCTGAAGATCTATTGCCAGGATATTACATCATAAAATTAGTTTATAATATAACTGAAGGTACAGGCTTAAAAAACTTTTATAAAAGAGATGAGCGACAGTGGTAAGTAACTGTTAAAATGTTAAATACATAGTAATTTCATGATGTTTATGAGCAAGCTCTGGTAAAGCATTTTGTTTCTATTTAAAAAGTATTTTCTAAGAAAAACAAATTTATACATAGACATGTATGTATCTGAAATGTTTCCATTCTTAATTATATGTTTCTTAATATCTTTTGGTAAAAAATTTTGCAATTTAATATTATCATTAAAATGTAAGATGCAAATATTTAGTATTATTATTAAAATATCATTTAATATTATTATTAAAATGTAAGATGCAAATAAAAATTAATTTAATTAAAGTAGTCAGCAATAATACACGTCTTATACAGCATTTTATATTGTCAACACTCGAACGAAATCAAATATTCCGGTAGAGTTCCGAATTATTTTCAAAATATAAGTATGATTTTGAAGAATTTATATTTTTTAAACTTGTTTATATGTAATTTGAAATTTTGAACAAACACATAAGTTTTACACTGTTTATTTTGACAATACTAAACTTTAGGAAATTCATTTCTAATATTTAAAAAAGTTTATAATTTAGAAGGAAAACATTTCCAGACACATGTTTATATGAATCCTTATTGTCCATAAAAATCATTATCAAAATTTGATTAGTTCATGAACACTTACAACTTTCATAAACACTTTGCATATAATACATATAATTAAACATATAAGCTATACTTATGCTGTATGTTTCATGTATTTAAACGTGCATTTACACACACAGATATTATTTAGAAATAATACTATTTTTGCTAATAACTAAGATATATATACATATGTGTTTTATTTAATAAACCATCGCTAAAATAGCCAGTTTCTTTCACTTGTATAAAATTATGTACAAAATCGTTGATAATATATCAATTAAAATCATTTAAAAAAAGTTATTATGCTAATACTATTTTTTACTGAAATTTATTTTAATTTTATTATACGCATTAAAATTTTGATATTAAAATGTTAATTATTAAATATTTATTTTGTACCTATATATTCTAAAATAAACATTTTACGAATCCTGCATAACTAAAATATATGCAACTTTTATATAATTTCATCGAAACCACTTTCGCACAAGGTTTTTGCGGTGTCTTTTATTATTGTTAATTCATATTTCTAAATGTGATAGGTTGGCAACGTATGTTGATATTGGGATCCAACACATGCTTCCGTCTTTGCCCGTATCTTTAGGAGCCACCATGCCCATCTATGATATTATTGTTGAACATTATCAAAACTATACAGTTTTATCAAATAAACCGATACAAGAAGGAATAGAAACGAATGATAAAAACATGACGAAGACACATTTGCATTCGCTTGTAAAACCTATTTATCTACTATTTCTGGCTAACCGAAATAATTTCTCTCTTATGCGTGGTACAAATGAAAGTATCAGAGTTAATATGTGGTGTAGAATGCATTGCGAATTTGCACACCAATTTGCTGAAAATATAACATCGTACTTGTTCGATAAATGGAAACGTTTGAATCAAACTTGGGAAATAAATCATATTGCACTTCCGGATTTTCAAAACGAAAGCATCATAAATCTGGGCCTTATTCTTTATAGGTAATTATATAGTTAGAAAAAATTAATATATTTTAAAGATGAAAAAGAGAACAACAATTCTTGATAACTAAAATTATTTACATATCTTTTCTCTATTTTTAAAATATTATTTGAATATATTTTAGAAAATAAGTTATATTGTATAAAGCAATGAAAGGAGAAACATATCTAATCGTTTATTGTTAGTCCAATTTATTATTGTCCAGAAAGTTATTGCGATTTCTGTTGTTTAAGATTTGGCGCTTTTTTCATGTTGTCTTTCTTTTGTATTTATATTGTATTTATATTGTAGCTATATTGTAATTATATTGTAGAACCACAAAAATTTTCTGGACAACGTGTCTTCAATGTACATCAACTTACATGAAAAATAATATTAAAATATATATATATTTTATAATCTTAAAATTGAAAATTACAAATTGAAATATAAAATCGTAAATTAATTATATTAAGATATAAGTATAGGTATAAGTATTATATTAAGGTTTTCACCTTTATCAATCAAAATTTAAAAAAATTTTATATATATATATATATATATATATATATATATACATAGTGCGATGCTCGCTTCCAACATATTGCATTACTTCGTAATGTGCATTTAGAAATAAAACATTAATAATAATATATAATTAATATGTTAATTTAATAGAATCATTTAATTATAAATTTGGAAATACAGTATTTTTTATGTGTTATTATACAACAGAAATAATCATATATAAAACATTTTTTTTACTTTTCAGAGAAGCAAATATTATCTACAATGACAATGTAGATTCTGTTGCGACTAAAATCAAAGTTGCCCGATTCATGGCCCATAAAATAATACAGGAATGTTCTTATTATGAAAATCCACTTTGGCTATCATCCTCTTTGTTAAATGAGGCTATTGTCTCATTTCTTGGATTATATGTCACCACTCAGGTTTTAAGCATTTTAAGCATTCTTTAGTGCAAACTTTTCTCACTAGCAAACAATATGATGGATATAGTACATATATAGAGTATTCTAAAAGTCCCAGAATGCTATTATAAAATATCTCGAAAACCATCAACTATAATGAAAAATATGCAAGGAACAAAATTGTAGGACTAAATAAAATGTACTTAGTGATGATAAGAATTTGAACTTGAATGAAATACTCAAAGTCATATGAAGATCAAGTTGATTTTTCTAAATAAAACTCCCCATTTTTTATTGTATATTCTTATAGCCCTTCTTTAGACCTTTTCAAATCACTATAATTTAGTTTCCATTAAGTGCCTTCCGAGTTATGAGGCTTGAAATTATTTCTTAATTTTACATAAACCGTAAAAAATCTTGTAAAATGATCATTTTCCGATTATCTTACCGTAAAGTTAAATATTTACCATTATAGAGGGTAATTTTTTTTATAAATCAAAATATTAGGTGAAGATTTTATATTTACAAAAATAAGTGAGTTTTTTAAAAATGCTTATTTTCAAGTAAATCTGCAACATACATAGATAATACAATTTAAAATAGTTTTACATTTTTGTTTCTTTTATTTTGTGCGTGAGTCAAAGTCACTATGTTACATTTGTCCGACTTTAAATTATTATATAAAAAAAAAGAAAAATTATCATTCAGATTCCACGTAATATATGTATAAATATAGAAATTGTGTAATAAGTTAATTTTGCTATATAATATATTTTAATAATTCTAGAAATATTTAGTTTTAAAGATATATGTCGAGTAATCATTTTTGTTATGAATATATTATATTTTTAAATTATTTATTCTATATTTTAAGTGTATAAGAGTATAACAAATTTTTTTACATACACGTAGAAAATAGCAGCTCTAATGCATATTGCTATTGTGTGTTAAATATAATATTAATTAAATAAATACATTTAAACTATTTTCTATAGGCTCTCCCAAGTACCCGGATGATGGACATTTTTTTGGTACAAATTCAACACGATTCCCTTCATTTCGATACTGAATATGATGCATCACCTTATAATACATCACTCAACATTTCTTTTAAACATTACGATCACATTAAAGGTATGATAATATAATTAAAAATTGATTATGCGTAGATTGTTGAATATAAATGCTTAAAGAACAAACAGAATAACTGATAAAAACTTTAATTTTATATACTCTTCATTATACACATACACACAGATACATATACATACATAATAGAGCTGGAGTATATAAAATTATAATATATAAAATATATTACATATACAGGATGTTTCTTTCTAAGTGATACAGTCGATTATTATCTCGCAAACCGATAATTTTATTGAAAAATTTTTTGATCGAAAGTTGCATAACTTGAAGGGATAATGAAAATATGGACTTGATCTTGTCAAAGTCAGGACAAGATCTTTAATGCTTTTTTAAATGAAAATCTCTATTTTTTTTATTACATAGTCTTGTATTACTTCGAGAGCTTTCAAAACGCTGCAATAAAGTATTTTTTCATTGAGTAATTTTCAAGTTATGTCTTAATTTTACATAAGCTATAAAATATCTAGTAAAATAGTCATTTTTCGATTATCTTACCTTAATACTTTTATGTACAAAATAATGAGACGATTCAATTGGTGTAAAGAAAGAACATAGTTGATTTAAGAAAAAATATGTAATTGTCAATTGCAAATTAATGTGTTTAATATCAGTTTGCTTAAGAAAAGTATTAAAATTGTCAAACTTTAACTTGTTATATCTTTTAAATCAATGTCGCCTCTCATTTACTTTTTTTGCGCGGAGGATAACTTCTTCTATAACATATTCAAATGATGATAAAATCGGTGATGCGTAACGTTTTATGTACTTTTACCATAATTATTAATTATTATTTACTATAACTATTATCTTATTTATACTCTGATGTAAATTATATTATAATTATAGTATTCAGTGTCTTGCGTGTAGTACAATTCTTGATTACTGAAGATTTATTTTGGCAGAGTATCCGTACATATGTAAAGGACAAGTGAGTAACACCTATACTAGTATAATTATTATTTTTATTTGAATTAAATTAATTTTATTTTTGTTTAAACTTACACCATTTCTTTCATACTTTATTATCTTTATTATTATCATTTCCAATACTTTTTAATCTTCAATGTCATTAAATATTCAAGACATATTTTTAATTTATATATACACTTATCTTTTGAAAGTAATCAAGTTTGACCATTCCCTTTTAAATTATAATTTAAATTGTAGCATCAAATATTTATATAAAAACTATAAATCATATGATTAATTATGTAATTAATTATATATTTAATTAAATTAAACATAAAATATAATTAACAATTTTATATGGTGATAAGTATATATATATATATATATATATATATATATAATATATACATACAGGGTGTTCTATACCATCCGTACACCCCTTTTCTTTCAAAAACTAAGCATTTTAGAAAAAAACGTTTTCGGCAAAAATTGTATGGTTTTGAGGGAAAAATAAGATGGTGTCATTGGTTTGATCTTGGATGGCATAAGGTTAAAGACACCTTTAATTTCTTAAATGGAACCACCTATTTTTTATTGCATATTCTTATAGCTTATGTCGAGAGCTTTCCAAAACACTATAATAAAGTATTTTTTCATTGAGTACTTTTCGATTTCTGAGGCTTAAAATAATATCTTAATTTTACATATAAAATATCTAGTAAAATATTTATTTTTCGATTATCTTACCTTAATACTTTTATGTACAAAATAATGAGAGGAATCAATTAGTATAAAGAAAACACATAGTTGTTTCAAAGAAAAAATATGTAATTTGCAATTAACAATTACATATTTTTTCTTAAATAGTAGTAGTTCATAAAAGTATTAAAGTAAGATAATTGAAAAATGAATATTTTACAGGATATTTTACGGTTTATGTAAAATTAAGAAATGATTTCAAGCATTTTAACTCCAAAAGTACTTGAGGGAAAAATATTTTATTCTAGTGTTTTGGAAAACCCTCGAGATAAGCTACAAGAATATGTAATAAAAAGTAGGCAGTTCTATTTAAAAAGTTGATCTTCACGTACCTTCAGGTGACTCTTCAAACCAATGGTACCTTCTTATGGACTGCTCGAAACCATACAACTTTTGTCTGAAACGTTTTTGTCTTAAACGTATGGATTTTAAGATATTTCAGTGCGTAGATTAAAAGGGCCTATCCTGTATATATATATATATATATATATATATATATATATATATATATTTGCTTATAATACCTTTTATTAACACATCAAAAATAAATTTTGAATAAATTTTATAACTTTAGCCAGCCTACTTTTTACTACCTTGTTGAAGTTATAAAGATCTTTTCGCCCAATCAAACGTACGATCTTACAAGGAAAGAATTGATTATAAAGCGGCTAATTGATTCTTCAACAAAACGAAAATATTGTGCTGTAGTGAAAATAAAACGAGATTATAGCAGCAAAGAGCTAAATATAACGATGGAAAATAAGATGTGGAAGGATTACATACCTAAGTATTATCATACGATGTTGGGTGACTTTATAATATTTAATCTACACCAATTTGGTAAGTTTGCAATAAATTTATTACATTTTATAGTGTTTATCATACAAATATACATGTATATATATAATAACATGTATATATATAACTGTATATATATATGTATATATATATATATATATATATATATGTATATATATACATACGCACAATTATTAAAAATATTCAATTTTCATGCAAAATGATTTTATACCTAATATAATATACAAATTGCATTTCCATTTATGTACATTTTATGATACATTTTTGATCTCTATTAATGTACATATGTATAATCTCTATTAATGTACAAAAGTATAAGTACAAAAGTATAAACAGATACTTGTACTGATAAACCCTTTGAAAGAATTATATATATATGTATACAATTTATTTATTTTACAGGATATTATCGAGTTAATTACGATATCGAAAACTGGAGAAGAATTACAAGTTATCTAAATTCTGAAAATTATATGAAAATACATGTTCTGAATCGTGCCCAAATTATCGACGACGCTTTCCACTTAATGATAACAAACCAACTTAATTCCACTGTATTCTGGAATATTACGAAATATCTGTCACGAGAAACAGACTACGTGGCATGGTATCCTATGTTCAAAGCTTTAGAATATCTGTCCAATATCTTTCTATTTCGGGAAAAAATATATGATGATATCAAGGTAATAATACATATTACAAACAATGTCAATAGTGGTGTCTTCAACATACTAGAAACATATTACTTATTGCACATATTAATATTGTGTGCATTTATAACAATAATTATTAAGTTTTCCAAAAAGATACATCTTATAAAATATATGTAGCTAGAAAAAATTTGATTAGGTATTTTAAATATACATATTTTGGATGAAAGATAAATATATTTGTAAATTAATATTCAATTAGTGTATGGACTAATCTTATAAAAAATTGGAGAGGAAAAGGGAGAAAAATTTGGAGATAGTTATTATTTTTAATCACAGCATGATATTTATAATAACGATTTAAATATCATTAATTTTGAGATAGCAAGTTAGTAGGAAACATATGTATTAATAATTATCTGTTTAATACTCAAACAGTTAACACTAATATAATAAGTTATTATATTATATTATAGACTTAATGTCTACATTTATGTTTACATGTCTACAATATATGCATGTATGCATTTTTATATGTTTATTTTGTGATATAAACATATTAAGCATGTTATCTGTTATATGTTTAATACTCAAACAGTTAACATAATATAATAAGTTATTATATTATATTATAGACATAATGTCTACATTTATGTTTACATGTCTACAATATATGCATGTATGCATTTTTATATGTTTATTTTGTGATATGAACATATTAAGCATGTTATCTGTTATCTGTTTAATACTCAAACAGTTAACACTAATATAATAAGTTATTATATTATATTATAGACATAATGTCTACATTTATGTTTACATGTCTACAATATATGCATGTATGCAATTTTGTATGTTTATTTTGTAATATGAACATATTAAGCATGTGTGAATGTGCACGCAAAAAAAATTCAAATTTGTGTAAAAATACGTATATATAAGTATAGCTATATACGATAGATATCTTTATAAAAAGAATTCATAGCTGTTTACAAAGACAGAATATTCTTAATATATAAACCTTCTTAATATATAAAATACAATTGTGCAAGATATCTTTCTATATAGCATAATATAATGCAAGAATCGAAAAATAAAATATAAAATTTATATCAAGTAACAATATAAATATATAGAATATATATATATATATATATATATATATATATGTACACATAAAATATCTTGTAAAATATTCATTTTTCGATTATCTTATCTTAATACTTTTATGTACAAAATAATGAGAGAAATCGATTGATGTAAAGAAAACATACAATTGTTTTTAAGAAAAAATATGTAATTTGCAATTAACAATTCCATATTTTTTCTTAACAACAACTGTATGTTTTCTTTACATCAATTGATTCCTCTCATTATTTTGTACATATAAGTATTAAGGTAACGTAATCAAAAAATAAATATTTTACAAGATATTTTATGGTTTATGTAAAATTAAGAAATTATTTCAAGCCTCATAACTCGAAAAGAACTTGATGAAAAAATGTTCATCTTATGTCCCTCTAGAAACTATACAAATTTTGTCTGAAACATTTTTTCGATTTTTCATTATTTTCCGAAATATTTGCCTGGGGAAATTAAAATAAGACATATATATATATATATATATATATATATATATATATATGTATATATTTGTTTATATATTTAGGAGAAAATACTGTACTTACTAAACAATTTACTTAATAAACTTAAATACAATGAAGTTTCTAATGAATACGATCTTACAAAGAGTTTAAGAATGGAGGCTGCGAAATGGGCATGTAATCTTGATGGTGAAAATTGCATAAAAAATGCCCGACTTAATTTAAATCGATATCTCGAAAATCCCGAAAATAACACGTAATTTTTCTTATATATTCTCGGTTATTTTAATTTGATTGTTTTGTAAATACATGTGCAATGTTTATTACATTATTTGATCAAAATTTAAATTTATTATGTTATGGTATAAAATCATAATTTAACAACACGATACACTATGCATATATTTTACTTGGTGCATTTACCAAGATATAGATTCTCATTTTCGCGTTTTAATTTTCGTGCATTTACCAAGATATAGATTCTCATTGTCGCATTTTAATTTTCGCGAATAATTATAAAGAAAAAAAAAAAATAATTACGCACTACCAACCGCGGTGACTCTTAATCGTTCTTTTCTAGTGTATCATGTTGTTAAATACATAAAGAGCCTAATTCTTTATCAATTTATTAATTTATTAAATTATAATTTGTTAAATTATTTAATCAAAATATAAGATTAATATGTGCAAAACATTTATATGAGAATTTGTCTTTTGTTAAATAGGCTTTTGCCATGGTGGAAAGAATGGACATATTGTCAAGGTTTAAAAATATTGTACTATTCTCTTAGCAATGAAGATTCTCCTTGGTGGGGAGTATATCGTCTGGAAAAAGAAAAATTTAAAACTAAATTTTTAAAATATCTGTCTTGCCCTCAGTATTCACACTTTATCAAACCCTATTTAAAACTAATAAAAAATGATAGTACAACATCGATTATGTTTTTCAAAGATTTTTCCGATAAAGATTATATTAATTATTTTCTTTTTACTATCGCGAAGCATGCCAAGAATCCTGTAGTATTCGACTTCATATTAGAAAAACTTGAGAACATAAGACCCAGGTAATACAGCTTCCTTTGTAAATATATATCTATCATTCAACAATTTATGTACGTATCAATAAATTTATTATTTTACTATTATAGACAAATCAGCGAGTATGCAACATTTACTGTAATTATTAATCATGTGTATTCCACAGATCAACTACAAAAGGTAAAAATTGCATGTGCTTATGTATACACACACGCGCGCGCGCGCGTGTGTGGGTGTAAAATAAATAATCATGATGCGACATCAAATATTGCTGTTTAACATCATCAAAATAATCTGTTTTAGATAAACAACTTCCTAAAATATAAATTTATTAATGTAACGCAAGTTAAATTAAATGAATGTAAAAAGTTATGGTTTTTTGTGAAAGAAAGAAATACTAAAGTAAAGGTAAATTTTATAAATATCATACTAATATTTCATTTATTAATTATTGATTTTTTTTGTTTTCATACAGAATGTATTAATGTTACAGTATCCCAAAGTAAGCAAAAATTAATGTCATTTAATTTTTTTATAAAATAAGGATAGTTTTATTTCTAATTTTCGGAAATATATTATTTTGGAAATATGTAATTTTTAATGAATGAGAAAGTGGAGAAGAGTGTGCGAGCAAGCAAAAGCAAAAAGAAAGAGAATTTCTTTACTTGGAAATTTTAGTGAAAATAGATTTATATATAAATTTTAAAAAGAAAATTTCAAGCTTCAGCTTATTGTATTTAAATCTTAGTTAATCTAGATGTTTAGCTCTTAGTTAAATAAATATAAATGTTTTTCAATATGATTGTGAAAGTATTACGTAATGTGATTCGCATACTTTAATATCACACGAGCCATTTGTTTACGAAAATAAAAATTTAATAAAGATGAATAAGTTAAGAAGAATTAATGCACTTGCCAGATATAACAGTTTTAATATTATATAACAGTTTTAATATTATAATATTATAATGATTTTATCTTTGTGACAGCTCATATAAATTTCTAATTTTATTTTTCAAATCTCTAATTCTAAATTTTGATTTTTATTTGTTGAAAGTTATTGCAAAGTATTATTTATAAGCATTCCTTGCAAACAAAAGAATTGTTAAGTAAAATATAGTGCAATACAATGCACATAATATAAAGAACACCGTACAATAGAAAAATGATTTTATTCTTATTTCAGCAAATTTGTAATTTTCTTAATCCATAAAATTATTATTTATTCCTATTATATTTAAGATTATTATTATTATTATATGTTTTATATATGTATTAAATGCATTAATATTATATATATATATATATATATATATATATATATATATACACAAGATAATATATTTATTAATAATTATTGGCTATTTACACTAATACTTAATACCGATATAATCTGTTTTAGACAAGCAACTTAACACAATCAGCAGAACATTTCACATGTATGCAGCAATATATTTCAAATATTGAAAGCAAGATACAAATACGCTTTTTCGAAATCCAAAGTCAACAGAATTACTTTCAAAATTTTGTCAAATATCCAGAGTTGGAAACGTTTTTAAAAAAAAGTAATAAGTTACCGTTACCTGAAGTTACTAGCGATAAGGATTTACCGTTCCCGTTAGGGGAAGGTGTCACCGCTAGAAAGTTACCGCCACCGTTACCTAATCCCCGCGACCCAATATGTCCGTTTGTTTTGGCTAAAGGAGAGCCTAAAATTTCTGGAACCTAACCTAATTCGTTACCGTTATCGTTACTAAGAAAGTAACGATTCGTTACTTTTTCGTTACTTTTTATAATATAAAAATTAAATTAATTTATTTTAAAATATAATTATTCTTTTATATATTTAACAATTATAAATTATTTATATATTTAACAATTATAAATTATTCCATCATTGATGTTCTTCATATTCATTTTTCATTTATATTTCAATTATTATTCCATCATTATTTTCAATCAATTTTTATTTTGTTATTTAGAAATTTTAGATTTATGAATACAGAGAAATAATTATGCATGTATATAGTTTTCTAAAATATTTGTAAACTGTTTTGTAATGAGAATAGATTTTTCTATTTTTCTATTTTTCTATTTTTCTAATTACTAAGAGAATACTATCCAGGGTTACAGAATTAAAGTAATGATAAAAGTAATGGTTAAATTCGGTACCGTTACTGTAAAAATGTAACGACGTTACCGTTATCGTTACAGACAGAAAAAAGTAACGATTGTTACCGAAAAAAAGTAACGGAACGACGTTATAAGTAACGCGTTATAAATAACTATTTATGATATATATATATATATATATATATATATATATATATAATAAATTGCTGTTATAAATTTAATATGTATTATTCATATTTTAAAATATGTTATTAATTGTTTGAAATTCATAATGTTTTGTAAATTTCATATAATTTTTTATTTTTACAATAAACCACATGGCACA